CAATGCCCACCGTGTGACACACAAGGGCGTCGAGGCCCCGGCAGCCGCAGCACAGCACCGCGCCTCCCATGAGTGCCCCAATCCATAGCAGCGCGCCTCTGCAGAGCAAACTGCGCCGTGGGCTTCCGGAATGTGGTTCCGATGACCGCATAGAAGGCTCGTCCATACGCCAAGAGAAGAAGAACTGCGTCCCTGCCTGCAATCCCAATCACACTACTCACGTAGAGTCCATCCCCGCTGCGTCGAAACATTGACGCCGTCACCAGCAGCACTGGTGGCGCGAGTCGGTCCGCAGCAACCCGCAACGGACAGAGACAAGTCTGATGTCAATGCGAAGGCAACGGCCTCCGGCACACGCCCATCAACGCTGCCAAGTCCCTGTCGTAGCTCGCGTCATTTGGCGGCAGCGTTCCCCAAGACAGTGCTCGAAAAATGCGCGGCTGCGACACTCTGCGAGGCACTCCAAACCCCCGCACGTACGCCGCTCCGGTCGGCACGGAGGCGGCACCCGAAGACGACACAACAGCCGCAGAAAATCCCACCGCTCACCTTCGGCTCCCCTCCCACCAGCGTCCCAGCTGTCCCTCAGCTGCAACCACAACAAGAGGGAAGCAAACCACACGGCAGCACCACACCGCCCAGCACTAGCAACCATTTGCCCCTCCACATACCTCACTTACCGTCGTCCCCAAAACACACACACACAAGAAAGGAAGCATCATTACGCAAAGCCAAGGCAAAATTAAAAACAACAAAACTCTGAATGCAAGCGGGGTCCCTCGCACACACACAAACACCGTCTGAGACAGCGGAAGAGGCGCAGTCAACCAAAACACCCAAATAAAGAGAGACGCAGAGAAAAAGACTGCTCAAGGAATCAGCACCATCCCTTTAAGAAAAAAAAAAGCGACAAAAAAGGTTCTGCGCGTTCCTCAGCGTATGCCTTAGCGACAGCCCAGAGCAGCAAGCGGCAAACCACAGCAAGCTCCAAGGGCCCTTTCTCTTCCACAGCACACTGACAAAGTGAAAGCACCGGCAGCTCCCACTCCGCCTTCCACGTTGTTTGTTCCGCAACCCCGCAATGGCCTCTCCGCCGAACTGTCGTCGGGCGCCACGCAGCCCTACGCTGCATTTCTCCACAGTTGCCGCAAAATTTTACCGACGCCAGCCG